AGGCCAAACGGCCTTGACAAAAAAATACAAAAGTACACAAGTACAAAAAAACAAAAAAAACAAAAACAACTACAAAGGCGTCTAAATAGCCTGGTCTTCTCCACCCCCGGATCTACCAGAACCCTTGGAGTCTTCTTCTTCTTCCTCAGGGTAAGCCAACTTCTTGGCCTCGGCCTCGAGCCCCTTAGCGGTTTCGATCTCGACCTATAGATCAAAACCCCGAGCATGAATCTCCTCGAGGGCCTCTCTTCGTGACTGCCGCTTCTTATATTCAACAATGTCTTTCAAGCGGTCTTGGGCCACCTCGGCATCGGCCTTATATTGGTCCACCATCTCGTTGACATCGGCTTTAACCACCACGACCGCTTACTTGGCTGTTTCAAGCTTATTGGCCATAATTTCTCGATTAGAGGCGGCTGAATTTAGCCGAGACTACAGCTCTTCAACCTTTTTGGCCTGCACCTCGGCCTTTTCCTTTGCCGCTCGAAGCTGGACCTCAGCCAAAATCAATTGCACTCGAGCAGCCTCATTTTTCGAGGTCAAATGGTCTATTCTACCTCTCCATTCTTCGGTCTCGGCCTTAATTGCATCAAACTTGGCTCGGAGCTGGTCGATCCGATCGATCTTCTATTGGACCTGCGGATTTCGACCATCAGTCACCGAATCTAGTTCAGCGTCACTAACCTAGAATGTTTTTACTTGCTCGATCAGGTCGGCATGCTCCTTCCGAGCAACCTCCAGCTCAGCTCGGAGGCTTTTAGCCTCCCCTTCAAACTACTCGCTGAGAAGTTTATAAGCATTTCTCTTCTCAGTGAGCCCTCGGACCTCAGCTTTGATCTGTTTCAACTCATCCCGGTATAGGAAAAAAGTCTTGTGGTGAACCACCGAGGCCTACAAGCACAAAGAAAAAATGTAAGAGTTATCTATAAAATAGCCCAAGTACAAATTGAAAACCATCGAGAAATATCCGAAGTTACCCGATTTAACGCCTGTTGTGCTTTGTTGAACAGAAAGGGTGCATCCACCTCATTCATCTTGGTTTGATCATCCTCGGTCACCAGACACCGAAGATAACTGGCCAACCCTACGGGGGCGGAGAGGACTCGGGTGTCCTCCATAAGGGAGATAGTGATGGATCGCTTTCGGCCAGGATCCACACTCGGAGCTGGGAATCGATTGACCAATTTGGGGCTTGAGGAAGGTCCGCTTGCTCCCGAAGATGGGCTCTTCCTCGGTATTTCTAAGTCACCCAACCCAATGACGTCCTCTGTGGCCGTAGAGTCCACTCCGTCAAAAAACCCGCGGACGGGGTTGTCCGCTCCATGGGCCCCCTCATTGGGGCATTTTTTAGCCGTTTGGGTGTCGTTGTACATAGACTCAGTAAACGAGGGTGACTCGGTGATATCTATCACACCGAGTGCTTCCTTCGGGGCATTGCCCACATCCCAGGAAGCTTCGGTTTTGGCCTCCTCCTCGACCTCCCAAACTTGATGAAGATCGGCATTGCCTCCCTCTGGTTCGGAGACCCCTTGTCCCTCGAGCCGCGATGGCACGCTGGCCATCATATCGAAGGCTTCTCCTTCTACTTCAGATTCGTCCCTCAGTCGATAGAGTGAATCCGGATACGGTGCTCGAGCACTGGTGCTTTCTTTGGATTTACGCACCAACCTTCTCCTTGGCTTCTTTTTCCCCGAGCTCGGAGAACTTGGAGCCCATTTCCTTTTCTTCTCTTCACCCTGTCTCGGAATAGGGGACTCGGTGGGGAAATCATCGTTATCGAATGGGGGCCTCATTTTGACATCCTTAGATAAACCTGCAAAAAGAAATAAAATAAGTCAGGACTTAATGATGCAAAAGGGAAACAAAATATTACTTATGAAAGAGATCCCACCGTGCGAACAGGCCTCCCATCGACCCTTTGAAAGCTCACGCAACAAACGCTCGGAGTAAGGCCTTTGTAATACGATGCCCTCGACCCACTTCTTGAGTCGAGAAATTATATTCGGGATCCGAGCAACAGCTGCACCACCATAAAACACTGATAAGAAAAAAGGAAAAAAGCGATAAATTAAATCTTGAAAGCAAAATTATACTTACGTGACATGTTCCACTTCTCAGGGAACGGCATACGCTCGGCCGGGATCAAGTCAGAGGTCCTCACTCGGACGAAACGGCCTAGTCAACCCCGATCCTCATCTTCATAGATACTCAAAAACGGGGCTTTACTGGTCCGACGAGCGAGCTTGATCGCCCCCTCCCCCCGGTAGAGTCGAGGAATGTATAAACGCATGAGGTGGTCGATAGTGAAAGAGCACCCTTCGATCTTGCTTGCAAAGAAACGGAGGAGGATTACGATCCTCCAGAAAGAAGGGTGAATTTGACCGAGGGTTTCCTCGTATCTTTTGTAAAAGTTAAAGATAACCGGGTCCAAGGGGACCAGTGTGAAGGGATAAGTATAAACACTTAAAATCCCTCGTCGTGGGTGGTGATGGCTTCGTCAGGTTCGGGAATCATCACATGTTTGTCAACTCAGTTGCAATCCTTTTTGACTTCTGAGAGAATATCCTCCATGATCGAGCAGATGTACCTCGAGTCCTCCTCGCACCGGCCTGGTATGGAGGAGGGCTTTTCAACCTTAAAATCAGCATTAACCAGGCACCCCCCGGGGATGAACATTTTCAGAGGAGGTTCCGGTATCGGTTCCTCGACGGCAGTATGCGAGACAACTTCCTCGGTATCCGGCTGCGAGGTAGAGGGAGTTTTTTTGGGGGAATGGATTTTGAAGTCTTCTTCATTTCTTTGAAAGATGGAGAAAAAATGAGTAAAAAGAAGAAATTAAAAGAGTACACTTGATGGTTTGAGATGAAAACGAATGAAAGTTCTTATAAAAGATCTCAAAGTAACCAGAATATAAGTGCTTGGAAGTATTGAAATTTCGTAGACACGAGGGCAGAAGGCTTGGATATAAAATTTGAATAAACAAAGGAAGGGGTATTTATAGTTCTCCAATGACGGTTCACATCTGGGAGTGGCCAACCGATAACTGACAAGCATTTAATGCCATTAAGACTAGACCGACGGGACGTTTCAACTATTTTGTCGTTTCTGTCACGGTATATCGAAGTGAGAATCGGGAGCTCATATCGTTTCTCATCATCTACTCTCCGAAAAACGAGGGGACTATCTGTATACGGGTAGAACTGGTCTTATAGTACATCTCGGTCTCCGACATGATAAGCCAAGCTCAAGATATGGTAACATGGGAGCTTAGATCGAGGAAGAAATATCATCAATTTGGAATGCATACCATAATGCCCGCCCTCGAGGATGTCAGGACCGTGATTCGGGATCGGTCCCTAGCCTCGATTAACTTCGAAGAACGTTGTCCAATAGTCAAGCTCGGCTAACAAAAGGTCGTGATATCCGTGACCGACCGAATATCACGGCGGAGATCTCGGCATGTATCGATAAGAGATCGACAATCAGTTAATTAGAGAATTTTTACCTTTTATAGAGTTGTATCTAATGTAGGACTCCCCTACTATATAAAGGGGGTCTGATTACTTGTAAAAGACATTGTAACACGTATTCTAAAGTAATACATCATCATTCTCTTTAAACTCTTATTCTTCTCTGTCTTGATATCGATCGAAATACATTTGACTCGAGGGTGGCTAACCTTTCAAGGTTGAAATTACCCAATTCGTGTGGTTTGCATTTACTTTACCATCATTTATTTCAATTGCAATCTAATATGTCATTTTGTGTCAAGTTAATCTATATATCCTTAAAACCACTTACAAATTCAATTGTTATTCGATTTTAAAAGTAAATAATGATTATTTAGGGATGTGCATTTTTTAAAATCATAAAAAAAAAAATACTCCAAAAAAACTATATTAACAGTTGACACTATCGAGTACTTTGAAATGTTGTAAAAGGAAAAAGAAAAATATATAGTGTAAACTGAACTGCATAGTACACTTGCTCATAGCATTGGAAAAAAATATTTACTAGCACCCGCTATTTTGCACCACCAAATAATTTAACCTAAGAGTTAACTTAAATGAGAATATTTATTCTGTTATTCTCTTATCAAAGTTTAATGATAAAAATAGCACATTATGTTTTATTCAAACAAATATACGATATATCAATTCTGATTGCGAACGCAAGGTGAAAACAATATAAGGGGTTGTTTGGCAGCCCGTATTAGGAAGAATAATACATATATTTGCTTTGGAATTATTAATCTCTTGTTTGGTAGTATTTTTTAATGTATGTATAACTAATACTTACAAGTATTAATTATACATCATATTCAGAATTATTCTTATACATAGCAAACCATGACATTAGCAATATCATTGTTTTATAACAACAACAACAACAACAACAACAACAACAACAACAAAAAACTCGGCCCCCTCCCTACAAGAACTTTCCACCTTGTTCTTGGGGTGACTCGAACTCACAACCTCTTGGTTGAAAGTGGAGGGTGTTTACCACTAGAACAACTCACGCTTGTCCAATATCATAGTTTTAATACATTGAAAAGCATGTATAAAAAATTATATGTATCCCACAAATCTTTTAGGAATAGTTTGGTAGGGTATAAAAAAATAGTATTTAATAAGGTGTACTAGTAATGTATGTGACATAAATACGAAATAAAATTATATACAATAAACTCTTGTGATTCGATTCTTCTTCGAATCTCGCGCATAACAAAGATTAGTACAGCGAACTGTCCTTTTTATATAATTCTTTCATCTATAATCAAGTATTTTAAATTCGAAATTCGAGAATGTAAATAATTTTGGCAGAAACGTTTTCTCCTTTCACGAATTTATTAAATTTTTTAATGTAGCGAAAGGAAAGATTAAAACAGGGGGAGGTGGCAATCATTTCCCTCGTTGACATAATGTGTGGTCACCTGAAGCCGAATCACTGTCATTTAATATCTTTTCTTTCCCATTATGTTCCCCGCCAATCTCTTCTTCTCCGTAACAACCTCATCTTTTTTTTTTGTCACCTACCTACTCCTACTATAGCTCCCTCCTCGTTTTCCACCCATAAATATTTTAATTTAAATAAATAAAAAAGCATCATTTGCAACAAAAATAAAAAAAGAAAATTAATTTTCCCAATTTTAGTCTAACCATTGATGGAGACACCCAGTCAACACTCATTCATGCCTTCTCCCATGACCAATACTTCATCTTCTTCTTCCTCCATCCGCTTCATGGGTCTCCTCAAACAACCCGACTCCGACCCTAACAACAACCTCAACCAGCTCGAAGAGTTCGACGAGAACGATGTTTTCTGGTCCGAATCCTCTGATTGTTCCAGTGTTGCTAACTCCTTTTCTCCCCCTACCCTTTCCACCTCCTCTTCCCCTACGCGCATCCTCCCTCAACGCGCCGCCACCCTCTACAAATCCTCAAACTCCGGCCTTTCCGCTGCTCTCTCCGACGATCACCACCCCCTCGTCCGCCGCAAATCTACGCTCAATCCTTCCGTTTCCGCCGCATCCGCTGCCAAAATGATTCCACCTGTGTTTCGTTCGGAGAATTCAAATCCCAATTCTCTGCCTAAATTTCACCAGTCGGCTCCGGTGAATGTGCCCGTGTGGCAGAAGAAGAGTACTGGACCGTTTGGTGGATTTGATCGGTTCGATGAGGTGGACGACGAGCTGCTAGAAGACCAGGAAATGGTTCCTCCTCACGTGATGCTGGCTCAGTCGCACGTGACGTTCTCGGTTTTTGAAGGCGTTGGGCGGACGCTAAAAGGCAGAGACTTGCGGCGTGTTCGTAACGCTGTCTTTCAGCAAACAGGTTTTCTTGATTGACCCATCCTAAAAATCCCCGCCCGTCAAAAAAAAAAAGAGGAAGAAAAGGTCAATCAATTTATTATTTTAGTGATTGAATTCTGAAGAATAATTTAATTTCGAAGGAGTCAGTTGCTGTACGTTCTTTTCAAAGATTGTAAATTATGATAAAAAGGTACAATCAATTTGCCTTGTTGACATTCCATTTGGAAAATGGTTATTACTTTGTAATTATGCATTATGGTGAAGTAAGCGTCCCAAAATAAGTTGTATTCTTTCCTCGGTTCAAGATAATGTATTGATCAGAATGATAAAATGCTTTTCTTTTGCAAATATGATGCGGCAAAAAAAAGGTACTATCAGTTTGGCCTTGTTGACATTCCATTTGGAAAATGGTTATTAATTTGTAATTATGCATTATGGTGAAGTAAGCATCCCAATAAGTTGTTTTCTTTACTCTGTTGAAGATAATGTATTGATCAGAATGATAAATTGCTTTTCTTTTGCAAATATGATGCGGCATTTGAGCTATGATAATGCTCAAAATAGGCTGTTGGTTATCATTTTCGTTCAATTCAAGTGAACTTCACATTAGGTGAGCTCAATAATGCAGGGGAGAATTATTAAGTAGGGCCGCAGCTCATTCCAATCACATGAAGAAATGGTGTTCACTCGTCCACGAGTCCTACAGTTAGTCTTGAATTCGCTAACTTTTGGGTTATCTATTTATGATATGAATGCCTATGCTGGAATTTATTAGCCCTTCTTATCTGAGAATCCTCCATGATGGGGAGTCATGAGGTCAATTTTGGCAGTAAATCGCTTGAGGAAAATATACTGGAAATGATAAAAGTTGATGTTATGGCTGGAATTGTGCTCACCCGGCATTTTAGCTTTCAAGAATTAAAAATAGATAAACATCTAAGTGAGATGGAGGTGCAATAGGTAAAGCATGAAATTTATGAGTTACATACTTGTGAGGTTTACTGTGGTAACAACTAACACGATACTTGTAGTGACATCAGAATTAACTTATACAGCTGGAATGTATGGCCCCTGATTTTATAGTTAATAGTTCAGTTGCAGATTTATCATCTTCAGAAGCTTAGATTGGCATTTTGGATTATAGTCCATTTAGGTGTTGTTCTGTAAACTCTATAAGCCCAAAATAAAATCTTGCAGTCCAGTTCTGGTACTGTAATCAATCTGGCGAAAATGTCAATTAATTGAGATAGCAGCAGAGTTATCTGATTTATATTAAGTTCGTTATGCTTATGCTATTTCGTGGTAAGGCGAGTCTCTTCAACCTCCTTTGATGTTTCCGTCGTGGTCAAAGTTTGTTCTGTTGTAAAAGTTATACTAATGTTGTAGTCCTCATTGCTTTAGAGTTTCACGGATTATTCTGGGGAGTCAAGGTGACTGCTTTTGGTAGAGGCTGAAAGCTAACTCACTTAGGCGTAAACTGTGTAAAATTACACTCGATGAATGGCATTGATCTGTGAATATCTTTATCTTTTTTTTAATCTTTTTGTGATCAAGTTTGAATGTCTTTAGTTATTGCTGAGTCTTTAATAGCCTCTAGGGATAGGCATCTGCAAATGCTGCCTGCCTGCATTGTTAATGCAGTCTGTAGATGTTTACATGCATTTTTTTTTGCTCTGCATATTCGTTTTCTTACAAAAATCTTGAGAGTGAAAGAAGGAAGATTGGAATGTGATAAATCCATGTCAATCATTTTGAATGGTTCTCTGATCTACAAAAGTGGCTGATTAGATTTACCACAACATCTTCGGTTGTAGAGCCGTCAAAATGGGTTTGGCCCGTGAGACCAGCCCAACCCATCCCGCTACTGGAGCAGGGTTGGGTTGGAATTTTTTTAGCCCATTTAAAACTGAGGCTTATAAGTCCGCCCCAAGTCAGCCCGTTGGCCCTTGAGGCTTGACCGAGGCAGGGCCGGTCAAATTTAAATATTTAATATTTAAAAAAAGTAAAAATTAAAAAAAACTATTAACTATAATCCCCATTCCCCAACCTTAGATTGCTCATTTACCCTTCCATATCAACTAGAATTTAGATTTTTGATATGCATGTAGTATGACAATTAGTTTTTCTTTTGCTTAATTAACGACGAACTAGGAAAAATGTCAAGTTTTAAGATCCAAAGAAAATTGACAGTACTAGCAAATTTCGTGAATTTTAAAATATTTATGAACTATAATGATGAATTCAGGAAATGATGTTAAACCTAAATTAAAAAAAACTCAACATATAAACTTATTGAAGCAATCCCTCAACCTCAGGAAAGTGAAAGAAAAGTATTAAAAAAATATTCATGTAACATTAAAAAAGAAGAGCTAGAGATATAAAGAATGTGCATTTCAATTACGAGATTCCTTGTCAAATATCAAGATATTGTGCGCTCTAAACAAAAAGAAGTCGTTCATATGATTGAGAGACTATGTCATGAAGAAATTTTTTTCTAAAAAAATTGAAGAGCCGGCCCGCCCTAACCCGCGGCTCTCTTAGGACTGGGTTGGGCTAGCCAATTTAAGGCCCATTTAAATGGCGTGCCAGCCCACCCTAGCCCATCAAATTTAAAAGCCCGTGAGGCTTGGACTGGGTTGGGCTGGGCTGGCCCATTTTGATAGCTCTATTCTGTTGAAGCAAAAGATTGATGCCCAGAAATTGGAGATTAAGATTCAGTATTTCAGTTTCTATTTGATTAAATTTCAAAGGCGCTCAGTGTTTATGTGACATATCCAAAAGTTGTATCCAAAAGTTGGAAATAAATTATGCATTTCACATTGAACGATGATATGTTATTTGTTATTTGTATTTTGTTGTGACAATAACGTGCAGAGGGCAATTGTTACAAATTTAGCCAGTTGCTCTCTGGCGGAGGTCATTGAATAAGATGAATTCTAGATGTTTTGACCTGCAAATATATGTAATTTTCACTTTGGTAGAGTATCTATGTGAACTTTATCAGAAGATAAGGTTGAGCAAGCCGGTCTTTAGTCAACTAACAGTTTAGGTCTCTGTTTATGTAGTGATTTATGAACATGAATTAGCTTGAAATTGTAAATTGTGTGGTATTCAAGTATGTTTCCTTTGGATGATTCCAGATGGTAGATTTTTCAGTTGAAAATGACTAGAGAATAGATTTTTGGGGCGTTATCTTTAAAAGACACTTTTAAAGGCAGTTCCAATAAGAGCACTTGTTCACATGTGGAGATGCATTCTTTATGTATGTTCCTATAGTCCCTATCATTGGGGGAATCTTTTATATCTGGATTTGGTGAATCTTCGAAATTCCAAAATTCATCATTAACAATATTATTCTTGCTCACAAACTTAGCAAGTAATCTTTTCCATTTCTATATCAGAATAAAAAGAAGTTTCTGGTTCACAAAAGCCACCGTCCTTTATTTCATTCATTCATTTGTTTGGTTAGATAATCCTATTCCCTCTAGTTCTGCTTTTCTTGACATCCACTCTCTTGAGGCTTGTCAATCCCGCGCTTTCACTGTCAACTGGAAAGACATTTCAGTAGCATTTCAGGCCGTCAACAGAAGTTGAATGTTTTAGTTCCTGCCTTTTTTTTTTGGCTAACATAAGATTAGGTATTCTCGTACTTGACAAAACTCTTTGCTAAGAACATCCTAAAAGTACGTTTATCAGCTATCTCATTGATGATTTCTATACTTCTAATGCTTTCTGCAAACACCTACTCACTGGTTTCAAGAATCAGGATATTTCACTATGTCTGTCCTACTGTAAAAGCCATACAAATTGGTGGTTTAACTTTGACTAAAGCAAGTAGTGCTGATGGAAGAATCCATAATCCATCACCACAAATCAAGCCTGAAGCGACTGCAGGAACCATCAAACTCGCCTTCTTGCTGTTGAGCTTATGCCATACGTATACAATCAAACTGCCCACACACATATCGATTGCAAAGGAAGCGTTATTAAGGAAAGGCACAGCCATAGCCATTGGGAGAGGAACCCATTTCCCGAATCTTTCCGGGGTTATGTCTCTCACCAAGTTGGCTATTATCGCAAAGGCAAAGAAACCATAACACAGCTGCAAGCAATGGTTGGGCAGTGCAGAGAAACCTTCAACACCTAAGATTGCCATGTTCCTATAGACGATAGCATAAGGAGCTTTGTAATCTCCATTGGGATCTCCTACAGGAAAAGCTTTGTAGAATAGGAAAAATGTAAGAGGTGCTACCACACAGCCAATGGCAGTCCCAATAGCTTGGCTTAGTAGCATGGAACGCGGGGAAGTGAGGGTGAGGTGGCTCGTCTTGAAATCATGCATCAGGTCAGAAGATATAGAAACAATGGATTTAATAAGTCCACATCCAATAAGTCCGGCTACAACACCATTCTCTTTACCAGATAATGCAGCAAGCACGAAGAGAGCCACCTTGCCATAATTGTATGCCATATTCAAGTCCGTTAGACCAGCACCATAAGCATTGCAGAAGCTCAAAGCTGGTGCAAGAATGTAGGCAACGAGCACGTAATACCACTTCAATGCCGGGAACATGAGTGGAATGACAATGATGGAGATAAGGGAGAAAACCATGTAACCAATACAAGCTAGCCATAAGGGAATGCTCTCTCTTATGAATATTTCGTTTCTCTGCAGCTCATCAAGGGGCTGATTCTTGTTGTCTGCTGCGGCTGCTGCCAGAAAAAATAGAGGCAGTGGTATTAATACTAAAATTGCAACAAAAGGAGACACACTTTTGCCCCTCTTAAGATTAGCTAACACAAATTCCTTTTAATATTCAACGACCATGGTAATATTTGACTCAACGATCATGGTACTATTTGACTGGACCATACTTTGTTGGAGTGTGTAGCTTTGTTCACTTTGTGACTTGACTATAACAACAACTATGCCTCAGTCCCAAACAAGTTGGGGTCGGAATAACATCAAATTCCATTATTAATGGAGGAGAGGTGTGAGAGGGAATAATTCGTTTATCACTTTATAGAAAAGACATCGTATAGCAGTTTTAGCTTACATGATTCGGGCCTCCTTGTTTTCAGGGAGACATATATGCTTCTACCAGTGAAAAAAAGTGTCCTGACAAAATTGTATAGGCCATCTCCCAGGATGAGAGCAATGGAGATAAAAACCTGCATAAAAGGAGTAAAACATGACTCAAGTTAAACTATAACATTCAAATGATTGAAATTTTATGGTCTAAATGAGGAAAAAGTACAGTGCTTATTGGATTCTTGGTCAAATTAAATTAGGTGCTTAGCATTTGATTGGTCTTTAAATTGATCTCTAACCTTGTAACCACTTAGACTCTTCATACTGCTCTGCGGTAAAGTTGCAGGAAACCAAGATCCTTTGCGTTCACCAATTAGAGGCCACATGATCCCCCAAGAGAGAACAGCTCCGAGAAGCAAAGACAAGTTCACTAAGTGGGAACAGATCATTCCAGCTCCAACATAAGTCATGCTGAAATCGAAGTAAAATCTGCATATATTCAATAGTATAGATTAGTGGTGACGGACTGAGCTACTTAAACTTAAAAAGAACCAAAATATCAAGTACATACGATTGTTTCCAAGCTTTCAATCCGAACGTGGGAAATTGGGCAAATCCACATTGATCTCCACCAGAATAAAACCACTGAAAGAAACTCCATAAGAAGCTCATTGAGAAAACTTTCATGAACCCTTTAACCTGTTTCCTGAAAAATTGTAAAACATAGTTTTCATTTCCACCCTCCAACTCAAGAAAGGCTAATTTCACAAAGCGAGTTCCTTCTCATTACAATTGTTTGCATACTTGGCCATTTTATCTCCCTTGGGAGTATGAAACCCATTGATAAGAACAGCAGTTGCAGTCCCACTTGGATAAGCTAATTTATAGTCAATTATCATGATCTGCACCACCAAAAATAAATAAACGTTCAAGAGTCAGTTGAAGGTGGCAGCTTGCCTATGTTGCTCGCTCGGACTCTCTGAAAATGTCGTTGGGTGCATGTCAGATTCTCCAAAAGTAGATTATTTTTAGATGATCCGGACGGGGTGCGGCAGATTTTGGAGAGTCTGCGCAACATAGCAGCTAGCCCTGCAAATCTGCTACCTTGAAAATGTTTTTGTAATATCTGATGGCTGTTATTTCAAAACACTATGACCCATCACTAAGTATTTTAAGTTTTTAACTATTTAACAAGAAGAAGGTTAGCAGTAAGATGGGGAAAGACAGTACCTTTCTAAGGGGAACTAAAGCTAATAGCCCAACAAAGCTAACAACAAAGAGAAAACCAATCATCCAATCAAGACTAGGTTCCTTGTGGCTTCCTGGTGTATTCCCTTCTGTATCGACTCCTGCTTGCTCATATGTCTTCTTGTTCAATCCCAAAAGATATGATCCAAATCCACCTAAATTAACATAAACAACCAAAAAAATTCAAAAATGAGTTCCAATTTTGAAAAGCCTCAAGCAAGACAACAAAAAATAAAAGATGTTCTAACCTCCCACGGCAATGCTGTAACATGCAACAGCACAAGTCTGAATAATAGTATTCTCCTGTCTAGTAAAAGGAGTGTATACAAAATTGGCCTTTTTAAGAATCTTGGTCCATGACTGTATGAATACATAGGCAAGAAGAGCAGCTGATACATTAAGATTTGGGACAAGTCCAGTAGTCAGATTAAGCTTCGTTACTATCACACTGTAAATAATTCCAATCAAAACACTTGCTACAATCCCACGAACTGTTATCTGTTTTGTCCAAGGAGGAATTCTCTTCACTTCTTCAGAATAGTCTCTCACTTCTTCCATTTCTTCTCTTTGTATTTCCATTGATTTTTCCTTCTCCTCTTCTCTCATTACACCAACTCTACTCATTTTTCCTGTCCATGTTCTAATCACCAATTAGTTACAAATACAAGTCATACCAAATAATACAGAGGGGGATAAAAAGAACATGGTGTGCTTAAAAAGATAGAAAAGGTACCCAAAAAATGTAAAAAGAGCCTGTCTATTCTTTTTCAGGACAGAGAGTTCAGTTGACAATCTCTGAAGTGGAAAAAAATCGATTTTTTTCCACTTTTTGAATATCAAGAAAATGCTCAACAGATAGCGGACAATGGTTTTGACAATTTTTTGTCCTGTTTACAGAGAGGTTCTCATGGTCGACAAAAGGGTATAGAATTAGAAAACTTGAACCCCTCAATCCAATTAAACAAAATCAAGAATGGTATATTCAGAATAAATTATCTGCTGCAACAATCTAATTATATAGAGAGTGCAAAATTAAAGAGAAAAGCTCACCGGACAATGTGGGGGTTGTTGGAATGAAGGGAATCGAATGTGAAAGGGCAAAAAACTTAGTGCACGGGAGGGGGGATGTACTGCAGGAGTAGTACTACAAACCATAAATAGGTTCGTGCAGTACAAGATTACCAAAATCCAACAACAGAGGATTGAAATCAATGTCGTGATTCTTGGGTAACACATGTTGGGCTTACATTGGAAATGCTTATCTTTTCCTTTTCTACTCTTCTTTCACTCCATTCACAACTTTTAAGTCAATGGACATAAAATAAATTCTAATTATTGTGGTATACATAATCTTAGTTGCTCAAATCTCTTTATAATAGTCTTATTTATTTTAAATTTTTTTATTGTTATAATAAAATACTGTTATATAGAATATATATTATAACATAGCATATAAGTTGGTTTCATAAAAATCTTAACTTTTATAATGAATGAATGTTATATAATAATATTGTTATAGAGAAGTCTAACGGTATAATATTACAGATAAATTATTTAATAAATATTAATTAATTGATTAATATTTATAACCACTCTGCTTTTATAAGTTCAAAATCACTGATAGTATAAGAAAATGTTACACTAAAAATGAATATAATTCAAAACCATAAAGCATTTATTTACTCTTGTTGACATAGAATTGGCTAACTACTGTTGACGTTACACTGCACCCACCGCGGTCTATTTCTGTACTGTCGATGCATATGAATGCAGTACAAAAATTCCAACAACAACAACAACAACAACAACAACCCAGTGTAATCCCACAAGTGGGGTCTGGGGAGGGTAATATGTACGCAGACCTTACCTCTACCCCGAGGGGCAGAGAGGCTGTTTCCAGGAGACCCTCGGCTCAAAGAGGCAACAAGAGACACTATATTAGTACTATCAATAGACTCATAATAAAACAACATAAAGTACCATAAAATCCATAACATAACATAAATACCATAAAAACAAAGTAACAACAATATAAGAGATATAGGAAATACGAGAAAGATGTAAGGTATTAATACACAGGAGATAAAGCCCATCATCAGTAGTTGATCAATAGCATCCTAAGACTACTTCCTAACTGGCTAGTCTCACTCTAGTGCGCTGTAACAAAGACATCACAATTTCCCTAACCTACCACCTTAATGCTCGATCTCCACAATTCCCTGTTTAGGGCCGTGTCCTCAGTAACCCTAAGTCGCGTCATATCCTGCCTGATCACCTCTCCCCAATACTTCTTAGGTCTCCCCCTACCTCTCCTCGTACCCACCACTGCCAGTCGTTCACACCTTCTCACCGGTGCATCAGTGTTCCTCCTCTGAATGTGCCCGAACCATCTGAGTCTTGCTTCCCGCATCTTGTCCTCCATGGGGGCCACACCCACCTTCTCTCGAATATCTTCATTTCTAATCTTATCCTTCCTTGTATGCCCGCACATCCACCTCAACATCCTCATCTCTGCAACTTTCATCCTCTGGATGTGTGAGATCTTCACCGGCCAACACTCGGTCCCATACAACATAGCAGGCCTAACCACTGCCCTATAAAATTTACCTTTCAGTAACAGTGGCACTTTCTTGTCACACAGGACTCCCGTCGCTAACCTCCATTTCATCCACCCCACCCCTATACGGTGTGTGACATCCTCGTCGATCTCCCCGGACCCCTGAATAAACGACCCCAGGTACTTGAAACTACCCCTCTTAGGGATGACTTGAGAATCAAGCCTCACTTCCACTCCCGCTTCCGTCGGCTCTGCCCCAAATTTGCACTCAAGGTATTCCGTCTTCGTCCTGCTCAACCTGAAACCTTTGGACTCAAGGGTGTGTCTCCAAACCTCTAACCTCTCGCTGACGCCGCGTCGTGTCTCGTCGATTAGAACTATGTCATCAGCAAATAGCATGCACCATGGCACCTCCCCCTGAATATGATGTGTTATAGCATCCATCACCAGGGCAAATAGGAAAGGGCTGAACGCAGACCCTTGATGCAATCCTGTAATAATCGGAAAATAATCTGAATCGCCTCCTGCTGTCCTAACCCGAGTCTTAGCTCCATCATACATGTCCTTAATCGCCCTAATGTAGGCAATCGGGACCCCTTTAGCCTCTAAGCATCTCCATAAGACCTCCCTAGGAACCTTGTCGTACGCTTTCTCTAGATCGATAAACACCATGTGGAGATCCTTCTTCTTATCCCTGTATTGTTCCATCGTCCTCCTAATAAGGTGGATAGCTTCTGTGGTAGATCGCCCCGGCATGAACCCGAACTGGTTGTCTGAAATAGACACCGTCCTTCGCACTCTCATTTCTACCACTCTCTCCCAGACTTTCATGGTATGACTTAGTAATTTAATACCCCTATAGTTGTTACAGATCTGGATATCGCCTTTGTTCTTATACAACGGGACCATAGTACTCCACCTCCACTCTTCGGGCATCCTATTAGTCTTGGATATCACATTAAGCAACTTAATAAGCCATTCCACGCCTGCTCTACCCACACACCTCCAAAGCTCAACCGGAATTTCATCTGGTCCGGTAGCTCTGCCCCTTCTCATCTTACGCATTGCCTCCATGACCTCATCGACCTCAATGTCCCGATAATCACTTAGTTCATGGGGGCTGTCGGCGTTCCTCAATTCACCTAGTACAATATCCTGATCCCCTTCCTCATTTAGAAGCTTATGAAAGTAGGTCTGCCATCTCCTCTTTATCTGGTCATCCCCCAACAAAACTTTGCCGTCCTCATCTTTTATGCACCTCACTTGGTCCAAATCCCGAGCCGTCCTCTCTCTCACCTTAGCGAGTCGGAGTAACTTCTTCTCCCCGCCTTTGTTCCCTAGTTCCTCATACAAACGAGCAAAAGCTGCCGTCTTTGCCTCCGTCACTGCCATCTTTGCCTCCTTCCTAGCTACCTTATATCTTGCAATGTTCGCTCTCTTCTCCTCCTCTCCAGTGCTCCCCACTAACCGCAGGTAAGCCACCTTCTTCGCTTCCACTTTACCTTGTACAACTGCATTCCACCACCAGTCTCCTTTGTGACCACAAGTGCGGCCTGAAGATACCCCTAACACCTCTCTTGCCGCCTTCCTTATATAGTCCGCCGTCGTCGACCACATAGTGTTTGCGTCCCCACTACTTCTCCAAGCTCCCATTGCCGACAACCTTCCTTCCAACTCCTGGGCTTTAACCTTAGTCAAGGCGCCCCACCTAATCCTCGGGCAGTACAAAAATTCCATTTGAAAAAAATATATATATAGTATTGTTTACCCGAAAAATCGAATAACGTTGAATTTATGTATGGTTTTAAGGACAAGTGGATTTCTTTGATCAGAAAATAACAATACACAAATTTATGATACAGAAATGGAAGATGATGAACAAATATATTTAATGAGCTTTAGAAAGATAAACACAATAAAAATGCTTAATCCCAGCCAAAAAGTGCCTTCTATTACAAACTCTCCTTGGCTTTATAGCAAAGGATCACTACTCTACCTATAGTAACATGATGGAAATAAATATTGTTAGTGGAGGACCCATGATGGTGCGTCTCCTCATTAATTCCCGCAGAGATTCTCTCCTTTGGTGCAGTTGTAACAGCTTTTGTCTGTGAACTCGATACCGACTCGAGCTCGGTACCAGATCGGAACATCGGTCTTGATTTCGAGCTAGGTGATCCCTTTCGGGCATCGATGTTCGGGACCTGTATCGACCGATGTTACCTCGGTCGATTCGAACGCCCGGGCTCGATGCCCCCATCTCGGAATTCGCTCGGGGTCTCCATGAAGGTACCACTCGATTGAAATGCCATCCTCGATCGATCTTCACGACCGAGGATCGGTTTTAACCGTATACAGATAGCCCCCTCGTTTCTCGGAAAGGAGATGACGAGGAACGATGTGATTTCCCTAAGGTTCGATCGAATCGATAATGACGTTTCTATCGGCTTTGACTATGACGTGCGTGATAGTTGTCCCATCGATTTGGTTTTATCGAGGCATTTAATGCGCGTCAGTCGGTGGTCGGCCACCGCTAGACGAATCGCCGTGCCTTATAAATGATTTTCGCATACAATGTTTTCCACTTTTGTGCTTCCTCTTTTCCCAAATTCTCTCTGATTAGTTTCTCTTATTTCGTCGTTTTAGTGCCGCTTGTACCAGAGTTTCGGTGTCGTCCCCTCTTTCACCTTTCTTTGTGACTTTTTCTTCTCGTATTAATGGCGAAAACTTTAAAAATCGTACCTCACAAGGAGAAAGCTTCTTCCCCACGGCCGTATGACGATAAGGCGCCGACCGAGCCGTCCGTTCAAGATTATATTCCCGGCCCGTGTATTTTAAAAGCTGATTTTAAAGTAGAGAATCCTTCGTCCGTTCCGGGTCGGTGTGAGCACGTATCGATGTATATGTGCTCTATAGCGGAGGTTCACCTCGAGGCCGTCAGGAAAGACTATGGCTGGGGTTCTGAAGTTGTGTTACAAGTCCCCTCCTCCGATGAGAGCGTCACTACCTATGTGGAGGGATTTCTAAGTGTTTACACCTATCCCTTTACGTTGGGAGCTGTTGATCCCGTGATTTTTTATTTCTGCAGGAGATATCAGGTCACCCTCGGCCAAATTCATCCTTCCTTATGGCGTATAGTCATCTTATTGTGTTTCTTCTCTACCAAAGCCGGGGGGTTGGATTTTTCTTTGAGCCACCTTATACGACTGTATCGGCCTCAGATTTATCGTGGACTTATTAGGCTATATCGTCGGGCATCGAAGGCTTTGATGTCGAGCATCGATGAAGATAAGGATTGAGGCTGGATGGGTCGATATATTCGAGTGAGGACTCGTGATCTTATCCCGGAGGAAAAAATGCCCTTTCCTGAAAAATGGAACTTCGACCGTAAGTGATCCGTGTTTGCTCTTCGTGTCTTTTTCCGTGTTTGATAATATTATTTTCTGATGTTCAGCTGCACCTTGGATGCCACAAGTTGTGCCTGATC